GGAAGAACCCAGAGGGTGCTCACTAATGCTTCCTCTTCATCCTGGAAAGAAGTGACGAGCGGAGTGCCGCAGGGTTCCGGCCTGGGCCCTGTCCTGTTAAACATCTTTATTAATGACTTAGATGAAGGGTTAGAAGGCAGGATCATCAAGTTTGCAGACAACACCAAATTGGGAGGGATAGCCAATACTCCAGAGGACAGGAGCAGAATTCAAAACAATCTTGACAGATTTGAGAGATGGGCCAAAGCTAACAAAATGAAGTTCAATGGGGACAAATGCAAGATACTCCACTTAGACAGAAAAAACGAAATGCAAAGATACAGAATGGGGGATGCCTGGCTCGAGAGCAGTACGTGTGAAAAAGATCTTGGAGTCCTTGTGAACAAGTTAAACATGAGTCAACAATGTGATGTGGCAGCAAAAAAACCAATGGGATTTTGTCCTGCATCAATAGGAGCATAGTGTCTAGATCTAGGGAAGTAATGCTACCCCTCTATTCCACCTTGGTTAGACCACACCTGGAATATTGTGTCCAATTCTGGGCACCACAATTGAAGACAGATGTTGACAAGTTGGAATGTGTCCAGAGGAGGGCGACTAAAATGATCAAGGGTCTAGAGAACAAGCCGTATGAGGAGCGGCTTAAGGAGCTGGGCATGTTTAGCCTGAAGAAGAGAAGGCTGAGAGGAGATATGATAGCCATGTATAAATATGTGAGAGGAAGTCACAAGGAGGAGGGAGCAAGCTTGTTTTCTGCTTCCCTGGAGACTAGGACACAGAACAATGGCTTCAAACTACAAGAAAGGAGATTTCATCTGAACACGAGGAAGAACTTCCTGACTGTGAGAGCCATTCAGCAATGGAACTTTCTGCCCTGGAGTGTGGTGGAGGCTCCTCCTTTGGAGGTTTTTAAACAGAGGCTAGATGGCTATCTGTCAGGGGTGCTTTAAATTCAATATTCCTGCTTCTTGGCAGGGGGTTGGACTGGATAGTCCGTGAGGTCTCTTCCAACTCTATGATTTTATGATTCTATGATTCTAATTGTAGTCGCTGGTTGTGTTCATTCTCAGCCAACCAGAGCATGGACACCACCATGCTTTTTATTGGCTGAGAGACATACAGAGAGAAAAACTTTAACTCTCATCATGCTCCTTATGGCCACCCTATGTAATTGCCACTAGGAAAGCAAGTTCCCAGGGCCCCCTCTGGAGGAGGAGGTAACTTTTCAAGAAAAAAAATGGAGGAGGCTTCTGTTGGGGAGAGAAAAAGGTATTGCAGATCCCCCTCAGGTACTTTGTGGACTTAACACTTTCTGAAAATATCGTCTCTCAAAAATCCATTTCACTGATCTTTTCGTCTTTCTTTTTCACTTTCTTTTTCCAAAAATTAAACAAAAATGGCCCTCCAAAAGCTGCAAATTTTTTCTTTAGCCTGATTCAGGCCAAAGTCTAATACCCTCAGTGCAGTTAAAATAAAGTCTTCTCTTTCTCCCTCTGGACCTAATTGGTGATCATCAGGCTCTCCAAACAACAATGTACATAACACAATGATAAGAATAATAATACCCAATAATATAATACAAACAAAATAAAACACCACAAAAGAGCTGTTCAGGAGAACATCAGTCTCAACATGTGCCAAATCTAGAATCCGTTCAAGAAAAAAAAACATTATTAGGTGATGGTTAGATATAGAATTCAATGACATTACCACATTATTCTGGAATATCAGTATTCCAAGGATCTAGAGGGAGAAGCTACAGGGGATAGGAAAAAGGCAGAGCTGTTTGACATCTTCTTTGCTTCAAACTTCTCCCAAAAGGAGATTGGTGTTCAACCTGAGTAATACAGAGTGGACAAGGTAATAGGGGAAATGCAACCCAAAATAGGTAAATCTGTGGATACTTGATTTCAGTAAGGCCTTTGACAAGCTTCCCTATGATCTTATTTCAAGCAAATTAGTCAAATGTGGGCTAGATAAATACTACTGTTAGGTGGATCTGTAATTGATTAAGCGACCGAACCCAAAGGGTGCTCACCAATGGTTCATCTTCATCCAGGAAAGAAGTGACTAGTGGAGTGCCACAGGGTTCGGTCCTGGGCCCAGTTCTGTTCAACATCTTTATTAATGACTTGGATGAAGGTTTAAAGAGCATGCTTATCAAGTTTGCAGATGACACCATATTAGGGTAGCTCATACTCCAGAAGACAGGATCCAAATTCAAAATGACCTTAGCAAATTACAGAGCCGGGCCAAAACCAACAAAATGAATTTCAACAAGGACAAATGTAAGGCAGAAAAAAAATGCAAAGATTCAGGATGGGTGATGCCTGGCTCGACAACAGTCCATGTGAAAAAGATCTTGGTGTCTTCATGGACAGCAAGTTGGACACAAACACCTCACCTGGAATACTGTGTCTAATTCTAGGCACCACAATTTAAGGGTGATATTGACAAGCTGGAAGGTGTCCAGAGGAGGGCTTGGACTAGATGACCCATGTGATCTCTTCCAACTCTATGATTTTATGGGCCTATAATTCTAGTAGTATTTCAGAGACTGAGGTAATGGCATTGATAGTATAAGCTTTCATTGACTACTCTACTGCATACAGTTATATGTCGAGCGAGGGGAAAGGCTCTTCTGGCATCAATTAGAAGGTCACTTTTAGAGAGGTGAGTATAAAATCTGAAAGGTTTGTATTCTTCATAGATTCTACATCAAGCATAAACTAAGGCTTCTATTTCAAGGGACTACACCAGAGAATTCAAATTGCCTCACAAAACTGGAGATCCCAGGATTCCATAGAACGAGGTCATGGCTGCTAAAATTCTCCAGTGTGGAAATACACCACATCATAAGAAAAACAGACTTTCATTTGTGGACAAAACAGCACAGGAAGGCAATGAAGGAAGATAATGTTCCCTACATTAAGTAGGACCCAAACAATTAGGGATTTAAAAATCAAAAGTAATTCCCTACATGGGGTAGATATGCTTGAGACCCATAGAAATCAATAGACTTGATTGTCCAGTTAAAAAATGCAGAAACAAGTCATTTATTCCGAAGTATACTTCCACTTGAAATCAATGAGGCTAATTTTTAAGGGCTGTGTTTAGGACTGAGGAATAAATTCAATCTCAATCAATAGTGCTTAAACAAACCTGACCTTCTGTGTATTGTACCCATTTGTTATAACAACAAACCAGCCTACTATGTGGGATTCCCACAGTAAGCTGTAGGAAAGCCAGGATACATGCCTGAAAGAGACACTGAAGAATTTACATTGCCCCGCCCCCCAGAGGATAATGGTTCACTTCGACTCAAAAGATTCCTTTGCTTGTTTCATGGAGATGTCACAGAATGGTACAAATAGGTTTTCCCATCCATTTTGATAGTAAGGACAGGTCCTTTCATAAATGCAGAACCATCCCCTTCATGAGAAACCACTTCTAACTGGAGGTTTAGAATAAATATATTTCTCATTACACCCACAGGAAACTACTTGATTAGAGCATTCGTGGGAAAAAAAATACTCACATGATGCACATGTAGCAATATATACAGAGTGGGAAATGACCATGCAGCTAGTGTGGTATTGTAGTCAGAATGATGGACAAGGACTTGGGAGATCTAGGTTCAATCTATCCCATGGTCATGAAGCTTCCTTTGGATCAGCCACTATCTCTCAGCCTGATCCACTTCTCAGGGTTGTTTTGAGGATGCAAGAAGACCATAAAAACCATCTTACTGGAAGGTACAAATATAACAATTTGCATCAACAATAATACACATACAACTGGAATCATGTCTCTGAGACTGCACTCCTATTTCCTTATAGATGTATAAGTGCAAAGAAATGAAGGCTGGCAGGTGAAATATAGATTAAGACTCCTGTAGTTTTAATGACTGTGTAAAAGAGGCAATATGAGCATGTTTACTTTGTCACACAAGCTGAACTCACTGAATTTCCCCTTTCTTGTTGTTACATTCCTTCAAGTCAGACTGCGAGTTATGGCATAATGTTTTCTTGGCGAGATTTGTTAAGAGATGGTATGCCATTGCCATTCTGTAAGGCTACACAACTTTACAAGGGCCCTGTTCCTTATTTCACTTGGCTACCAGAGATGAAGTGCACATACCAGCTGTGTAAACATTATGGGATTTATTGGTCTGATACATATGTGATTATGGTATGTGTTTATGTTTAGTGGTGAATGTGCAGACAGAAGACTAGTGCTTTTGTTTACTTTGGGATCCATCTGATTTAGATCTGTGCTTCATGGACAATACATTTTGCTATCTAGTAAATGTGTCACATATGAAGATCTGTGGTTTGTGATTTTTCAGTTGCGTGCCTTACCCCAGCCTGCATATTTGAACCATTTTTTTGAGATATGACCCAGCATTGCCAGAGGCATTGCGTTGCTTCACTGCAGTACTGGTGTAACATCACACCTTTGCGTTGCTGACAGATTTGCTGATGCAGTCTGTGGTGTTCAGCATATTATTTTTGAGGCTGTGTGGCTACTTTGGTGAGGCTTGTGTCACCAGAGTGCTTCGAGAATTGTGTGACAAATGGATTTTGAAATACATAGGCAACTCTGCTCACTGTGAAAAGGTGACTCATGTGCTTCCGCTCAGTAAAAGCTTTGGGGGAAGAAAGTGAAGAACACAAATACAAAATCCATCCAAAATATGCATGCAAACATACTAAAAGTAATCTTTAACAGTGAGGTTTTGTCGGCATTAAGAATGCATACAACTTTAGCCTTAGAAAGACATTTCAAGGCCAGTATAATCTTGTTAAAAACATGTTCTGCTTTAGGAAATAATTAATTTGTGTTTCATATATTAATGCTAACAAATGTGGATAAGTTTGTTTTTAAGTACCCATTTCAACAAATCTGATAATACATCTTGTGTTGATTGAAAATTCATACTTTTCTTTTCCAGAATACCAAACATCTCCACTAACTCTTTTTTCCTCTTTAATTTGTAGATCCTAGTCAATGTGGGAAATTTCTTTACATTGGAGTCTGTCTTTGTAGCACCAAGAAAAGGAATTTACAGTTTTAATTTTCATGTAATCAAAGTCTATCAAAGCCAAACAATCCAGGTACGTTGATTCAAAAATTTACGAGAATTTTTTTGGTATTTCTTTCCCTCCTTCATTGGATAAATGGCTAGTGACTAAAAAAATAAGTATGGTAAACAGAAATTGTTTGCATGGAACAATGTTGAGTTGAAAAACATATCACATTTTTTGAAATTACCATATTAAAATATAACAGTAAGAAACTGCAAAAGTAACTAAAACTTATTGCAATAAATTCCGATGGATTTCAGTGAGATTCTTAAACCAGTGTTATATACAATATCTCAATATGGCCTGGTATGTTCATGATAAACAATTCATACCTTCTGATTACATTATGCATTTTTTGTTAATCTGTCTCAGAGATTATATCTATGAGCACAATCTCATATAATCCAGTTCAATGCAGTTAATCTGTACTCTGAAACTGTATTATGTGGCAGTGTAGATCTATCCTCTGTTTGAAGTCTTTCAAAGAAGTCAAGACCACCACCTTCTAAGGTAGCCTATTGCACTGATGAACAGCTCTTATAGTAAATATATTCTTCCTAATGTTCAGGCAGAGTCTATTTTCTTGTACTTTGACTGCACTAGTCTCTGAAAAAAAGCAGAAAACAGCTTGCTCTATTTTCTACATGACATGCCTTTAGCTATTAAAATGGAGATCATGACACCTCTCAGACTTCCAGTCAAACATATCTAGTACCTCCAATTCATTCCTCATAAGACATGTTTTCTAGACCTTTTCATTATCTTACTTTCAATTATCTTACTTCTCTAGATGTGTTCCAGCTTGTTAATATTATTTGTAATAGTTTTGACCCAATGCTTTGATGAAAATAAAGAAAAACCTTTGGTGGTTTTTAAATGGATGTTCATGTTTTTGTTAGATATAATTTGATTGACAGGTAATGTCAATCAAGGTTGTATGTTATAATTTGGCCTTAGATGTTGGGATTTTGGGATTTGGCTGGTTCGTTATTGTATGTGTATCTATGGTTTTATCAAGGCCTTGCTTGTAAAGTTGTCATTTATTATTATTATTATTATTATTATTATTATTATTATTATTATTCTGACACAAAAACACAGTATGTCACAGCAAAAGAGATCTATATGCTTATCATCATCACAATGCTGGCAGTTGTATTGTATTACATGTTGGACACTTCCCAAGTGTCTAGGACTGTGTGATGTATCGGTTAATAATGGATGCATGTTCCAAGTAGGGTGGGCTTTTACAGTTGACAGATGGTAATTTTGTCAGTGCCAATTGTGTATTATTATTATTATTATTGACACAAAAGCACAATATGCCACAGCAAACGAGATCTATATGTTAGATTTCATATCACAAAATCACAAGTTGAACACTTCCCATGTGTCTAGGACTGTGTGATGTATTTTTGAATGACGTGCGCAGATCCAAGTAAGGTAGACTTTTGCAGTTGACAGATTGTGATTTTGTCGATGTTTAATGTTTCCAAATGCCGACTGAGATCTTTTGGCATGGCACCCAGTGTGCTGATGACCACTGGGACCACCTGTACTGGTTTATGCCAGAGCATTTGCAGTTCGATTTTGAGGTCTTGATAGCGGGTGAGTTTTTTCCTGTTGTTTTTCCACAATGTGACTATCACCTGGTATGGTGATTTTAATGATCCAGACTTTTTTCTTTTCCACAGCTGTGATGTCTGGTATATTGTGTTCCAAAACTTTGTCAGTCTGGATTCGAAAGTCCCACAGTATTTTTGCGTGTTCATTTTCCACAACCTTTGTGGGTTGATGATCCCACCAATTCTTTACTGCTGGCAGGTGGTACTTGTGACATAAGTTCCAGTGAATCATTTGGGCCACAGAGTTGTTTTTATTTGTAGTCCAGCTGAGGATATGATCCATGATTTCATCAGCTTCCGTGCACAGTCTGCATTTTGGGTCATCAGCTGATTTTTCGATCCTGGCCTTAATTGCATTGGTTCAGATGGCTTGCTCCTGGGCTGCAAGAATCAGTTGTTGTTGTTGTTGAATCAGTTATTATTATTATTATTATTATTATTATTATTATTATTATTATTGATATAGACTTCCAAAAGGAATGAGGATGTGCACTGTGGGCACAGAATGCTAGATTAGATCTTAGATCTTTGGCCTGATCCAGTAGTGACCTCAAACACAATGGCCATCTTCTAAAGCCATGGCATGAAAACATCAGATCAATTAGGGATTTACATTGGCCAGGGGTGAACAAACAGAAGGCTGTTTTTGTCCAGATTCCTTAGAGCTCACTTTTCCTTGCATAATTGAAAGGGTGACTTGCTTCTTCTAGATTCTTGTGCTATTTACAAAACAAAATAACGAATCATTCCAAGCCAGAAGTGTGCTTTCAAATACATCTCGTTCTATTTTCTTTTTTTAAAAAATTTTTTTAATAATTTTTTTATTGATTTATCACATTTATTACATACTATTGCATTTTGTACATCAACCTCTTTAACATGTTGTTTTATTGTTTTGCTTTGACAATTCCCCTCCTTTTCTCTTTTTTTTCCTTTTTTTTTCCCCGCCATAGTTCTATTTTCTTTTTTGTGGGAGGAATTTGTGGGTTCCAGAGTGTCTCATGCAGAAAACCCATCGTGAACACAATGCACTTGTCTATCACTGTTGTCAGAAAACATATTTTGGATAAGGAATAGAAATAATATATATTAGTATTAATTCCTGTGTCAAAACAAAATATTCCCAACAATCAGAAAAGAAACTTCATCAGAATAATAGAAAGAGCAAGATTCTTTCACAGTTTTCTTACTGTATCTAAAAATCCCTGTGCAGGAAGCCTTTTTTTGTTTGCAATCAGGTTTTCTTTGAGCAAAAACCAATAGGTTTTTCTATGCAAAATAATCCTCCCTGAATTGCTTTAGGATGTTCAAATTCAGGGAGCAAATATACCCTGTGGAGGAATATTCTTTTTCTCCCCAGGTAGGAAGTAAACTACTATGATTATTATTCATCACCTTATGCAAGAATAGAATTGTTGAAGATTTCTAGTTTGGACTGAATCATAACCATCCAATGGAGTTAAGTATGAAATTCATCATTGTTTTAGAAGTTTGAGTCACCAACAGAAAGTTTCTGGGAAGAAACCCAGAACTGATAAAATGACATTATTGTTCTAAGCAGAACATAGAATTAACTTACAAAATTGTATTCCATGACATGCAACGATGACTAAAGGCCTGAATGGACTTTTTTTTAAAAAAATCAGTTTGACAAATTCTTAGTGGATAAGTCATGACAGATAAATGGAAATTTCATGCTCAGTATCCGCATACACGTGAGTATTAGGCACCTGGAATAAATAACCTGAGATTGAAGGCAATGCATTAAAAGCAGCAATGTTACCTGAAGCATATTACTCTGGGGAGCTAACAAGGGTATAACAAATTTCATTTGCAAATAATGCAATATTCATTTGAAATATTAGTTTTATGTGCAACAAGCAGCATATCTTTCTTATCTTTGGGGGCCTAAAGTGATTTATTGGAGCATTTAAGAGATTCCTCCCTAGTTTCATATAATTTTCTTATTTTGATGGAATTAAAAAGCAGCAAAAAACAAGTCATAACTAGTAACTGATTTATGTAATGTCAATGGAACTGAGGTTTGTATGCTTTCTAGAGAGTTATAGAGGAGCCCCAGTGGTGCAACGGGTTAAGCCATTGAGCTGCTGAACTTGCTGACTGAAAGGTCAGTGTTTCAAATCTGGGGAACAGGGTGAGCTCCTGCTGTTAGGTCCAGCTTCTGCCAACCTAGAAGTTCGAAAACATGCAAATGTGAGTAGATCAATAGATACCACTCCAGCAGTAAGGTAGCGGTGCTCCATGATGTCATGCTGGCCACATTACCTTGGAGGCATCTATGGACAACACTGGCTCTTCGGCCTAGAAATGGAGATGAGCATTAACCCTCAGTGTTGGACACAACTAGACTTTATGTCAGGGAAAAACCTTTAACTTTATTTTAGAGAGTTATAGAATGAATTACTTTTCAAAAGGAGTTTTCCACAATTTTAAAATAAAGCAGGCAGAGCCCTGAGCCTTCTTGCCCTCTTTAAGAGTTTTCTTTGTATTAGAAGCTATTTTTCAAACTAAAACCATTTCATGAAAAGAGGGGTGAAGAAATATAATGAAAAACTTTTTTAAAAAGCCAATCTAGTCACAATGGTTTATGCATTACTTCTGAATTAGACTATTGCAATGAGTCTATGTGGGACCACCCTTGAAATGTTTTGATAAACAGCAGCTATGGCAAAATGCATCAACCAGATTGGTGCCAGGTTTTCACTTCAAAGACAAAAACTACAGATGCAAAAACTACAGATGTTTCCCATTTGCTTCCAAGCTCAATTCAAGGTGTTTGTATTGACTTACAAAGCCCTGAAATCTTGGGACTGCTTCTTCCCATGCAAACTTGCTAGAAATTTGAGGTACAGAGGTGGTCTAGTTGCAGATCTTTACACTTTCTGAAGTCAGATTGGTGGGTTCAAGTAACAGGACTTCCTGTGTAGCAGTTCTTTGACTGTGAATCTTCCTATTCAAGGAGGTTAGACTGCGTCCATCCCTTTGAAAGCTTTCACAGGGTAGCCAAAAGTACATAAATATTTAATAAAAAAATAAAAAATTATGCTAACACTGAAAAGGCTTTGATTCTTGTACTTACCAGCTCAGTGTTGGTGGCACACTAACAAGGAGTTTGGAGCTGAACTTGATGTTTAGGTTCATGTGGATGTAAGTAGTCTTTTATCATCACTGAAAACTTTATCGTTCAAGATCAACACTATATGTCAGGTTTGGAAGCAAAGAGATGGCTAGTACATTTGAAACATAATTCATGTAAAGCAGTCTGAATATTTGGTCCCTACCAGTTTTCAGACAACTGAATTCTGGAAAACCATAGACCTCTGTGGTTTATCTAGTTGGTGACGGGACAAGAAGGTTATAGATCAGAGGCTGGCCCTCGGATGA